ACTAAACAGCCTACAGTATTTTTACAGTCTTTATTTTACAGTTAAAATATATGTTTATCAAATAAAGTCTAATGTTACAACTAATCATGGATCTCTAATAAAGTAAGTGTAGAAACGTCTTAAGGGTTTGACTTCCACACACACCATAGCCTGAGCCAGGGTCTTCTGGACCAGGTTGACACATCGCTGGTACACAGGCTCACAGTAGGGCAGGAAGCCACTCTGCAGGGCTGTGGCTACAGAGGACAGACACTGGAGGAGGAGACAGTTGGCTGTGATAAAACTGAAACTAATGATATGATGCACAGATGGTTCTGAAGCCTGAATTTGTGCAGAGAAAACTCACTTCTAACAGTGGGAAGAGATCTTTGTCCTCATCTTTGAGCTGGTTCCATTTCTGTATCAGTGGTGGCATCAACATCTGGATGTACTCCTATTAATATAACAGATAAATTGCCTGGTTAATACAGAAATTAACATTTGTCCTCTATTATCTAACAAAAACATCCAAGAAATGTTCTTTATGTTGACCTTTAGGCTGTGCTGTTTAGATTTATAACAACTGAATGTAAACTAATTACTACTAACAACACTGGTAAAATGAGGAAGCAGAGAAAAAAGTTCATGTGACAGAGGTGTGGAGTGTAGCTGCACACGTGCTCTGGTGCTTACAGGTTTATTGAGGTGGTGTCCCACTGAATCTGCAAGCGTCCCGATGGCGTCATAAAGAATGAGCAGATTTTTGTGCTGATACTTGCTGAAAGCAAACACCAGCGTGTCCAGGATGAAGGCCAAGTACGGCACCAGCTCCGTGCACGCTTCTTCCTCCAGAGTGGCAAAGGCACTGAAGGGGCAACAAGTAAACAAAGAAAGGGCAAAACATATTTATAATTAAAGCCAAAAAGAGAAACCTCATTTTCTGTAAAAGTGCTAAAGGACTTTAAATTGTTTAAGAAGCTGAAACTGAAAAGGTTAATTTATAACAGCTCGATTAAAGATTATCTTGATGTAGCCACAGCTCTGCAAAGTGACTTTCTGCCCTACGGTGTAAGATTAACAGCAGCTAAAACTAGCAAAACTGTGGCTGAAGAAGCTGAAACTGAATAGTTATTTTAAAACAATCAGAGAAGATAAAACTAGACTAGTAACGGCAGTAACTACAAAGGGGCTTGCCTCGTAGTACAGGATTAGTTTCAATGTATTCTTGGGATTTCCCTTGGCTACCACCAAACCAAATTACAGCTCAACAGGGGTAAAAATGGCAGAGTTATGGTTGATTTTTCCTTTTCAGCAAAAATGTTTTGGGCAGCCATGTTCGGATGATTTTTATTTTATAGATACAATATGTGATGGGGATCGTTCCTAGCTCTGACTAGGGCTGGGCGGTATGAGCTCAAATTTATATCGAGGTATAAATTCAATCCCTTCACGGTAACGGTATATATCGCGGTTGAAAATGATCATAAAAAGCAAAGATAATGTAATTTTTAGAGCATTTATTTTGCAGAAAACTGTCATAATCAAACACAGCATTTCTGCAGTAGTGCAAATGAACATAACAGAAGTACAAAATAATGTTTTATATATGTTGCAAAATGGTTTCAACAACATACAAAAACATTTCTCAAATTTTCAACAATATCAAAATAAAGTGGATGTTTTAACCAGTACTTCAAGTAAAATTGGTCATTTAGACATAAAAACAATTCTAAGCTGGCATAAGTTGTCTAAAATGTTATAGTGACTGGACCTTAAGGTGCACATAGTCCTGTCATAAAACTATTTCAGATAACTGGAATATAAGTGTGGTGAAGCCAAATAAATGTAATATCTGCCTGCCATAAATGAGCTTCTGCCTGCTGAACTTGCTGCTGCGCTCTCATCTTCATCATCAGAGCAGCAGCTGACATTAGCCAGATGGATTTATGACTGAACGAACGTCCACATCCTTTTTTTATCCTCTCTGTGGGTAACAAAACATAAAAAACAAGTTTTTTCTCCAACAACTTGGGTGTGAAAAAGCTACGGTTGTTAGAGCTTCGCTCTGAGCGACGTGCAGCGGGAGAGTTGGGGGAGATGATCCTGTGTCCTGACATACCTTTTTTTACAGGGGAGGGGGAAATTTTGAGGATTTTTTTCTCTATATACGTGTTTTAAAACACTATACAGTATTTCTTCATTATATTTGGAACTCTTCCTGCTCAGTTGTCTCTGCACTCACAGCCCTGTTGACACAGGTGCGATGACGTAACTGACGACAGGATGATAAGAGGGTAAATTTCTGCCATACACCAACTTCATATCATTTCTACCGTCTACTGCATATACCGCACAGCCCTAGCTGTGGCTGTGCCACATTTCAGCTCAGTATGGATAAAAATGGATGGATTATACAGCGGGGAGATCAAGTATTTGATACACTGTTGATTTTTCAGGTTTTCCCACTTGCAAAGCTTGTAGATGACTGTAATTTTTATCATAGGTACTCTTCAACTGTGAGTGATGGAATCTAAAACAAAAATCCAGAAAAATACAAAGTATGATTTTTAAATAATTCATTTCCGTTTTATTGTGTGAAATAAGTATTTGATCATCTATCAACCAGTAAGAATTTTGGCTCTCACAGACATGTTAGTTCTTCTTTAAGAAGCCCTCCTGTTCTCCACTCATTACCTGTGTTAACTGCACCTGTTTGAACTGGTTACCTGTATAAAAGACACCTGTCCACACACTCAATCAATCAGACTCCAGCATCTCCACAATGCCCAAGACCAGAGAGCTGTGTAAGGACATCAGGGATAAAATTGTAGACCTGCACAAGGCTGGGATGGGCTACAGGACAATAGGCAAGCAGCTTGGTGAGAAGGCAACAACAGTTGGTGCAATTATTAGAAAATGGAAGAAATACAAAATAABDRAAAATCTCCCTCGGTCTGGGGCGCCATGCAAGATCTCACCTCGTGGAGTATCATTGATCTTGAGGAAGGTGAGGAATGAGCCCAGAACTACACGGCAGGACCTGGTCAATGACCTGAATAGAGCTGGGACCACAGTCTCAAAGAAAACAATCAGTAACACTCTACGCCGTCAAGGATTAAAATCCTGCAGTGCACGCAAGGTGCCCTTCCTCAAGCCAATGCATGTCAAAGCCTGTTTGATGTTTTTGGTATTGGTATTGGTAATTGGGGATGGGTACAACCCAGGTGAGCGGGGGCCTCATAAG